TCATCAGAGCCTATGACACTCCTCTCAAAACTTGTATATTCCCTCTTTATGTCAGAAAGCATGTATCACTCATCTCAAGTCTTGTATATTCCTGTACATTCACTTCATATGTCAGAGCCTGTAGCACTCCTCTCAAAGCCAGTAATTCCCTCTTTATATCAGATCCTATATCACTCTTCTAAAAACCTGTACATTCCCTCTTTCTGTCAGAGCCTATAACACTCATCTCAAAGCCTGTACATTTTCTTTTTATATCAGAGCCTATAGCACTCATCTCAAAACTTCTACATTCACTTCTTATGTCAGAGCCTATAGCACTCAAAGCCTTAAAGCCTCACACTCCATCATCATGTCGTAGCACTCCCCTCAAGGCTTGTATATTCACTTCTTTTGTCAGTTCATTATTAGCACTTCCCTAAAATGGACATTTTACTCAACTCTTCATATAACAACATGTGCCACCCAAAGCCTGTATATCATCTCCTCATATTAGAGATGTTTTATTTACCTCAAAGATTATGTCAAAGCCTATTCCACTCCCTTCAAAGCTAGCAGATTTTCTTCTCCTTGAAAGCCTGCCTGCAAATGCTGTAGCACACTTCTCTTCATTTGTGAGCTAATGGCACCTAAGTAATGGTAAATACAGGTTTCGACACCGAATACCACCTGAGACTACTGCATGCTATGCCATTCAAAGTCGACAAATCATTACCTGTTCTGGCGAAGCATTACTAATTTTGGTACTTTCTAACAAATCTGTGGGTGTATGCATGGATACCTGCACATTATCTTCATACCAGTGCCTATGCCACTTTCCTCAATAATTGTACCTCATTGTATCAGAACATATGTCACTCTCATTAAAGCTTATACATACATCTGCAACTCACTTACTACACATTCTTCTCATGTCTATGTCGCCCACATCAAAGCTTGGGCATTATGCCATTTTAAACCTCTCAAATTGACCAATTGTCATGTAATTACCTCACACATCTTCCAAACCTACACAACTCAGATTATTTTGCACACCCAAATCCTGTAAATCCCATTTGTATGTAAGGTTAAGTTTCACTTCACACCTTAGACCATGTTCTTATTGCAAAAAAAACATTATTCTTTTGTATTATAATGGTTTATCAAGTAGCTGTACTATAACATTGTGTACCACTGGAAACCACTTGCTGGATCTATTGTTTGCGCAATGTATAAAAAAATTTTTTATAACCTTAAAGCTAGGTGTCTGGTCATAGATAAATCATTCTACCAGAGGCAATGCCCTTCTTTGGTTGTTTCGCATCTGTAAGATTTTGACAAATTACATTCATATATAAAAATAAAAGAAATTTAGCAACTAGTATATGCCTGTCTAGTAAAACATGATTCAGCTTGTGCAGAAGTACACTACGCCCTGAGGGTCCAGTCCACAAACCAAGCATTGACAACAAAAGCAAAACACCAACTAGATTTTAAGACAATGATCAGAATTGTACACACTATCGAGTGTCTGACACCGAATCAAGCATGAAACATGCTCATCCCCCTTCAAGGTAAGAATTGGCAACAAAGGCAAAACAAAGATAGTGTTTTAAAACAATGATCAGAATTGTACGTAGTATCAAGTATCTGACACCAAATCAAATTTACACATGTTCATACAGGTTTGCACTTCAGGGCAGAATCCAGCAGTCTTCTCAATACAGAGACACAAGGCTGTATTTGCTTAGACAGTAAGTAGTTTATCAATGCATGTACTTATTGACTTCATGTGTTTAATCATAATTACGCTTATGCTAGCTCTGTATTTCAACAATTCACAGTAGTTACAACAAACTACAGTTTTATAGAAACAATAAACTATACAAAACGGTATAGTTGTCAGAAGATTTATTTGCATGGTTGGCTTCATTAAAAACTACATTTGGTTGCACTGGCTGATTTGGTTTGGACAAATTGCAGCTCAGGTATATTTACCATATTGTAAAGTGTATCAATGATAGCCCCCACGGGGTTGGTAATACCTATGTTGACAGTATTTATTTAATTTTATACTATGTCCTTGAATACTGCTGTTATGCAAATGTTCATTTGCGCATTCAGTTGCTGCGCGAACAACCATTAGCTCATACAGTTACTACCCAGACGCTCATTGGCCACGCCGCTACTACACAAACGCTCATTGGCTACTCTGCTACTACGCAAACGCTCATTGGCTACTCTGCTACTACGCAAACGCTCATTGGCTACTCTCCTACTAGGCAAACGCTCATTGGCTATTCTCCTACTACGCAAACGCTCATTGGCTACTCTCCTACTAAGCAAACTCTCATTTGCTACTCGCCTACCACGCAAACGCTCATTGACTACTCTCCTACTACGCAAACGCTCATTGGCCCCTTTGTTGCTACGAGAAAGCTCATTAGTCCATTCAGCTGCTACGTGAATGCGCATTTGTCCACTCACTTTCTCGGCGGACGCTCATTGGTCCTTGTCATTCAGCTTCCTGAGTGATTGTATCTTCATGCTAAATCTCCTTGTCTTATTTGAACTGTCGCGTGGAGGGTATTGCAAATCTAGAAAGGACTAGGTCACAGAAACATATTAAACTCTTTATCATAACTCAGCAGTCAACATAATCTACACACTGTGACGTTCTGTAGTATTACCCATCAGTCACCACTGCTGGGAAAAACCCAGACAGCTTATCAAGGTATTACAAGTAGTTCATTCATTTGGCGCGAGGTAACAATAACAACGACATTACTTAGCAAAAATGTTTTTGTTCAGCTTTTATGCATTTCATAGTATTGCATATCAGACACCATGCCCCCAGACTGCTTGGATGAATTCCAATATATGATGATCGGAAAGATAACAGTGTTGGTACCAGACAATTCACGCCTTCTGTTCCGACAGGTGTCCCGCTTTATGTAAAATGCCAAACCTTGCAACGTACGCCTCTACGTCACTCTGGTACGCTCATTGTGTGATGGGTTGTCCGCAAAATGGCCATATATGGGCGTTGGCGTATTAGCATATTTATTAGCATATTTCGTTGATGGCGCTATTGATCATTAGCCGATAATGTCAAGAAAATGCGTGTTTGAGATTTATGGCCATTAATTGATTTTTTTTTAATTTGGGTAAAGTATTGATATGTGTTGAGTGATATCTCTTCACGTGGTGCCAGGGCGTAGATGCAGGTGTCACGGCGATGTTGTCCCGCAAGAAACTGACACTTGAATTTATTACGGAATTAGTTTAAACATGGAGGTAAAAAGAGATCTCTTTTTACCTCCATGTTTTAAAATATATTGATTGGTTTCCTTATCTCCCTCGGACTGGTGCACGTAGATAGTACCGACCACGGTATGGCGGTCACCATGACTACCGTCACTAGTACCTTCTCTGAAATCCTCATTTAACTCGCGGGTCTCTCTTTTCTCCCCCCCCCCCCGTTTTTCTCAATTCCTGTCGTCATTGAAATTTATTCACTATTTATTCCATCGTTATTATGCAAGGTAACGGTGCGCCTGCAATGTTTGCTTCGTACCGCGCATGCGCAATGTTTCGTTAATGGACGTAGATAAGGGCATACCGTAAATAACGGACTGGAAATATGACCACCCAAACGCACAACTAATTTCGACTCTGAAATAAAATTACGCTATCGATATTAATAATTGTTGGAATGGTGGCTTCTGTATCAACGGGTGACGTCGTGGATTTAAAATTACTCGTTTATACCATTTGACCCCACCACTCCCATACACACACCTGCCGTACTCGCTGAGCATGGCAACTGGACATCTGTTTACCAGCTGCATGCAAGTGGAAGTTGGTTATTCTCAGGGGATGGTATCAGTGTGGCGTGTTAGATGAAACATCGAATTGAGCATCGGAAATCCCTTATCGAATAGAATAATATTTTATCAGAAGTTTGAAATGAATATATTATGATACATTATATACGTCGTTTATTGCACACCACCTAGCAACATAAGATGAAATACTTTCGCCGTGAAGAGCAATACAACAACACAGATAGGGTGAAATTGTAACTTTTCTCAAAAAAAGTGTCCGGTGGTCATAGCCCAATATTCATTTTCTTAGAACGGAAAACGACGTACGCTAAAAACGCAAAGGCTCATGGGTAGGCGCTTGTTTTTAAACAACGACACGCTATGACCGTCTGTCGCACGCGTAGGTGACGACCCCCCGTCCCGCTTTAACCATTTAAACGCCAAGGTAACTTTTTATCATTTTTGTCAAAAGTAACCCTCATAATTGTTTCCGTATTAAAAAAAATAATCAGTCGATGGGACAATATGCCCACTCCGAATCTAACAGATACACAAAAAAAAGGTATTGTGAAATAGTAAACAGGGAAATATTCGAAATGTTGTACAACAATTTTGCCGGGAAAGATTATGGGTTGGTATGTATCCACTTCACTGAAAGTATGGTTGGAAGATCAATATTCAGTTTGATCTCAACTTTTTTAAGGCTATTGTACAACTTTACCGACCGACTAAAACTGACGTATGACTGGAGTTTTTTAACTGGACCATCAAGCGTATGAATATATACGACTCACTGTAAAATCCAACTGCAATTGCCGAGAGCACGCCGACTTGTATCAACAGAATGATATATTGTCGACCGTCACCTATTATCCAGTTAGACACAGATGCCCGCCGAGATAGCGGATATCGGGAGAGCCGCTATTCTAAATACCATGGTTACATAGATCAATGGAACAGTGAACTTGATGACAGAGGAGAATACAAACACTATTTGAGAAGAGAAAAAAAAAGTCTCGTTGACCTCACGCTCTCAATGAGATCTCGGCGGCCATTCGCTCCATTCGGTGGCTAATTGAATAATTAGGCTTT